ATATATATATATATATATATATATATATATATATATATATATATATATATATTGTCGTGAGTGTGAGTGTGGTGGAGCGGAACCCTTTTCCTACATAGATTCTCATGTAAAATACACCCAATGCACAAAAGAACCATAAATATGGAGTGGAACTTGTCAATCAGTAGTCATGACTTATCTTGGCAAAAAAACAAAACATACCCAATCCTTTTTAGGGTTTCCTTGACTCATTCTGTCCTTCCTGATCAGTAATCACTTTTAAGTTTTTTATTAAACCACCTTTAGATGGTAAAGTTTAACCTAACTATCATACTTGCAAAAAAGACTCGCCAGTCACTATCTTCCATCATGAAAACCAATGCCTCAACCATCTGTTACTGATAATAAGTGCAACTCAGAAGTCAGAACCGGGTAAAACTGTTTCATTTCATTTATCTTATATATATAAACTAAACTACAGAAAAATACAGACTTAACTTTTCTTGATAGTTGATATGAGAGAATCCAAACTTAAAAAGAGAAACTTTTAATTCATACATTGTGAATCTTCAAATACCAAAAAAAAAGAAAGCAAAATTAAATGAAGGAAGAGTAGCTTCAACTTGCAGTGTTCTGGAGATCTCACTAAAGGGTTTTTTTTTGGTAATTGCACCATCAAGGAGACATGTCTAGGGACTTGTTGCAGTACAAAGAGCATAACCCAAGATGTCATCGTCGTAGAACGTGAGGTATGAGGCTTCTCCCACATGTGGTGTTGCTTCTTGCCATTGAGCAGTGACACAGAATTAACAAGAGAAGAAATTATGAATCACCCTGGAATGTAGAAACTCTTCTTTTCTACTTTGTATCTGCCCATTCATAGAATGTAGAAACTCTTCTTTTCTACTTTGAATCTGCCCATTCATAGATAATTTGTTAACTTTTTTTTTGTTTTGATGGGTAGATAATTTGGTAACTAAATATAGAAGAAAACCTACCATATCCCAATCTTCATGGCGAATGATCAGACTTCCAAGATAAAATCAATTACATCGTACCCTGGTAATATGATCGTTGATTGCAAACCCTAGCTCAAATGGGTTTGGAATCCTCAACAACAGCAATTAGTCACGAGTTACAAATGAAGAAGTTTATTCAAGTACTAACTGAAAGAGAATAAGCGTACTTTCACAAACAACCATGATTTTAAACACAGAGAATGACCATAGTAGGCCTGCAGTTTTAGAAAGAAAGAAAGAAAAGGAAAAGGAGAACAGAAAAAAAAAAGGAGAGAGAGAGAGAGAATATAGAAAGTCCCAGGCAGAAAGCATCTCCTACAAAGAATAGCCTGCAGGATCTAACTGCATGCAAACCTTAAGTAATTTGATAAACAATTAATGCGCCTATTACAAGTAACAGAACATCAACTTACAACTGAGCCTGGGCAAAGGCTAAAAACAACTTCAGTCGAAACTCAACTCAACAGAGAAACAGATAATGATTTTTATAGTTAAGGAACACTAACAAAATACAAGAATCATATAAATCAACCAGATCCTTCTCCAGTTATCAAACAGATCTAGGCATAACAAATGAAAAACTGAAGAAAAATAACAGATACATCATGTGCATAAGTTTGTTTATTATTAGAATTCCAACCCAGAAAAGAAGCTTCGATAGCATGATTTGTGAAGGGAGCTCCCTTCAGTCCAAGAACGGGAAGCATAAGATCCAACTTATCTCCCGCATCATTCGCTCATCTACCAAGCAGTGGCTCCCTTCTTTACTTGGTATTTGGGTGAATGAGTCGGCAGTTAATTAAATCTTACCACCTCCCATGAGTGGACTGAAGGAAGCTCTCTTTGCAAAATTTCATCCCAGTAGTACTCGTACTAACATGGTAATAACATTGTGGGCTGTGGCTGTGAGATTAGTACAGTGATCTACCAACTTGCACAGCATTAACTAAGAAACATCCATTATCAATTAAGCTAACCCTACATCAAATCAACCTGTCAAAATCATGATAAAGTATGGCTGAAGCTCCGTTGTGATCCTTCAAAGTAGTGAACCAAATCCTACGAACAAGAAAAGGAGGCTACAGAGAAGGAAATAAGAAACAAGAAAGGCTCACAAGGAAACAGAAAAATTATATAGCAGAAAAGAGATGAGAAAGAGAGAGGAACTAAGCATGAAGCATGGCACAGAGAGAAAGAAGAGGAGTTGAGAACAGTGATTGGACATAGAAACAACATCTCACCACCACACCCAGAACCCTGAGAGGGTAGAGAAGAAGAGCTATAATCACTATAAGAAGCAAGCAACTTCATGGATCTGTGAACGGAAGAATGGCTTTATATAGCTAAAAGAGAGGTAAGATCAGAAAATATAAAAATAATATTAAAAAAAACACCATTAAAAGAAAGGGACTTATTCATATTCCTTCCTTGTTGCTGGTATGTACCCTCCCTCCAATCCCTCGCCTGCTGATGGGAAAGCCTATCACTTCCTTTGCATATTCCTCACCTTGAATAAATTATTGATACAAGATACAACAAACATGTAGCAACCAAACCCTAATTCTATTATAGTGTATCCATAGTTATTTTAGGTAAGCAATTATTCTACAGTTAAAATACCATAATAAATCACACTGCTTAATTAATATATGCGAGAAAGTTGTTAGGTATCTAAAGTAACCAAAGGGGGAAAAAAAAAAGCTCTAGTTTACCTCCTTTTTTTTCTTTTTTTCTTTTTTTACGGTAGATAGCTTAATTCTTAAAGTTGAAGCTTTTGTATTGTATATTCGTGTATTTGTATTGTAAAAAAATGGAATACTTATATTTTCTGACCTACCAGTTAACAGATATACCAAGTAGGACCCACAAGGACTAATGAAAGATTAAGATTAACATAGAGAACTTTTGTTTGAAGTTTCGTCTTATGCACCAATGAATGAATGACCAGTAAGGACTAAGGACTGTATATAAGGACAAATCAGAAGTATTATAAACTTTTAAACTAGAGATTGTGTTAACCAAATCTTTATATCATTGTCATGCAAATCAAATTGGATTTGGCAAGGAAGAAAACTGGCTGACATTCAATCACGTAGAAGAAGATGAAAGCCTGACGATACAACGACTGTTTTACTGCATTTCTAGAGATTACGTAAGGATTGTTTTCTATTTTATTGTTAGATTCTGATATATTGTATATTTATTAGCTAGAACTGTTGTTTAATTGACAAGTTTTATTTATATGTCCAAATCTCAGTCTGTTGCTAGCTACAAAGCTGAGGTCTGAGATACTGTTGTTAAGTTTATACGTTTTCTAACGGTTAAAACTTAAAACATTAATTAATCTTTGTTAAGAATGAGAGAGAAAGGGATTTACAGTAGGGAGATTATGCTACAAGCCTACAAATGTTTGCACCCAAATTCAGATCTGACTCATGATTCTTCATAGGGACATAGACCCAGTTATTAACTAATAAGTCTGAGATTTAGCTTTAAGGGTTAAATCAAAGATTAATGATTTCAATGCCTAAAGAGAACGCTGAATCAACTTTTTTTCAAAAAAGAAGGAAACTTAATTATCTATTTTAGTGTTAGGGTTGCCGGCTGGGGAAGCGAGAGATTGGATTTGACGTACATTTTGAAATTGTACAAAGAAACAATGTGGAATCTCTGGGGCTCAAATAGAGATTACATTACTGATACAGAGATTACTTTTTTTTTGGGGGGGTGAATGATACAGAGATTACAATGGAAAGAGATTACAGGACAAGAATCAAGAAACGACGATCAAGAGGGGAGAGAAAGTAATTTTACAATGGAAAGGCGAAAATAATTTGGTTGGACTGGGGTATCACATCAGATTCTCCTTCACTGCACTCTCCGTCCTGTCAACACAAAAAGCTGCCTACAAAATGGTACCCTCTTGACACCCAATTATCCATCATCACCAATTGTCCAATCATGCCTCCATCTATTAACCCTTTTGCTCTAATACAGTTTTACACCTGTAAGCTCTGGATAAACCATTAACACTCCGACTGACTCTTAACACCCAGCAATTCAGCAATTAAAAACAGTAATATCTCTCTCTCTCAACTTTAAATTTTATTTCTCGTTGTTATAACCTCACATGCTTTTGGATGCTGGGAAACATAAGCTAGTTACTATATCTGCAAGGTGTTTAATTGAAGATATAAAATTATATCTATAGTAAATTATACAATAACAATAATAGGAAGAATATAAACTGATAACTTTTCTCAATTCTGACAATATAAAAAGAAAATTCTGAAGGTCAGAATGAATATTAGTTGATTAAGGCAATTTTATCAGCTAATACAAACGAATTATTCATAGAAATGGAACCAATAGCACTAAGGTCAAGAAATTAATATTTTAAGTTCATTTGGCAGCGGATAAAAAAGAGTAATTTCAGAACTTGCAAGGGATATAGTATAATTCCTAATTCCTTCTTAGAATTTTAAATCAATGACAGTTTATTTTTTCCATGAGAACCTCGTAATGCTACACGTCTAACTGTAATTGATGATAATTTTGGAAAAGAACAGTTTATCGTAGTCAATGAAGGGAAATGGTTTATGATTAATATTCCATCTATCGTTTTGATATATTCATTGACCTAGGAATAAGATTTGCTCATTAATTCTTGAATCCTTTTTTACTGATAAAAAATTATTGAACCCTTTATTAATAATGTGATTCTTGTATGGCAGATTTTATGGTTTCTATCAAAGCTCTTTGGTTAAAATGGAAAGGGGCAATTAGTCTTGATACTCTAAGGGGTATTCTCCAATTGGGTCATTTTTCCTAATTGGTTCGTTTCTAATAAAATCGGGTCTCAGAGTGATTCTATTTTTACTGTGTTCTCAACCAGAAACAGCCATCTAAATTATTGACATCTATGCAAAAGATCGAGTATATTCCAAGAATCTTAATACTATTTCATTGAAAAAACATTTTTTAGAAACACAACCACAATAAAAAACATGATAATTTCTCTTTGATTTTTTCTTACTTTTTTTTTTGTGTGTAAATAAAGGAAGGGGTGAATATGGGTCGGTTTGGTTCAGTTTTATGGTAGAAATTGGAACCTATCTTGTAGGGGTCGGTTCCAGGTTTTTGGAACCAGAACCTACCTTGTAGGGTTCGGTTCTAGGGTCAGTTCTGGCCTTGGCGGTTCCGAGGTTGGTTCTAGGTTCTACTCGTGGAATCTATTCTTTCTTGACTTTCCCCCTTAAAAAATGACTTGTTCTTTAAAAACTTGATTTTCAATAAATATAATATATAATTTTAAACTTATATAATCTTTATTGATTAAATTGAGTAATTTAATATGTAAATTATCATAATATATTAATGTATGGTTCAAAATTTATCATTATAATTTAAAATTTGTAAATCTTACCTTTTACATTATTTATTATACACATTCAAATATTAAAATGAAAACAAATTATCAAATCACTTAAGTAACTCAATGGTCAAGTGAGACCATGGCCTTTGTAACCATGAGTGCTTGGGTTCAAATCTTTACATTTAAAAGTATTTTGAGTTTTGTTTCACAACAAGTTCGGTTCCAAGGCTAGTTCCACCAAGGCCAATTAGGGCCAGTTCATCATATCAGTTTGGATATGGTAAACCCTAGATCCTGGAACCAGCTTGGTTGGAACCAACCCTACCCTATAATAAATTGTGTGCAGGACCGTTTCAAGGTTAGTTCGATGTTGGTTCCATTTGATTTTGTGTAGAACCTATACATTTGCTCACCCCTAAATAGGAGTTCTCATAAAAAATTGAAAAATCCAGTTAACCAAACCAATCAGTTCGGTTTCGGTTTGATATTTTTGAAAAAACTAAAGGATCAGTTCAATTTTTAGTAACATAAAAAAACCAATGATTATAGAGACAAATAGATATAAATATAGATATAAATATAATATATAAACCAAGAAACCAAAAAACCAAACTAGTCAAAAACTAAAACCGATCAACCGGGTTGATTCAGTTTGATTTTAATTTGGGGATTTTCAAAAACCAGTAGAACTGGTTCGGTTTCAAAAAATACCCCCAATGTTCGGTCATCCCTAGGTGTCAAGCTTCTATGGAAAAGGAGAATCCCATTTCCAAAGAATCTATTGGTCTAGGATGGGTAAGGATGAGCCTTTACTATGTTAAATATGTTAAATAGATTTAAATATTAGTATTAACTAGTAAAATTAAATAAGTTGCATTTCTGATTCGTTCTGGAGGACCCATTTAGTAAAACATATATTTAATGTTAGAAGTTTATACTAAAAGAAAGAACAAAATAATACATAAATAAATAAATAAATAAAAGAAAAACACAGAATGATGCTTCACTTCACAAAGGGGTGAAAGGGGAGAGTCCAGACTTTCCAGACACCATTCTTTGTTACAGAACAAGTACCGAAGCACACAGAGGGTTTCATGCCCATAAAAGGATCTTCAGATAGATCTTGTGCTTCAACAATCAAGCTTTTGTTTCCTTTTATCTTATAATCCGACATTTTTGTCATCATGGGTTTTGAAAAGATTGTCCTCAGACTACGTATACAGTATTGGTACTTGACTACTTCTAGATTGACAATTTAAATTACTATGTTTTAGTATGATATTGAAAATGATATCATTGTTAGTGTTGTTATTAATATAAGGCAAAATCTTTGAAGTAGCAACTGTACCTTGAAACAAAAAAGTGAATTAGTGAGAGTTATAGATGACATATTTAACATTGTTAATTAAAATCTTTAATGTGATTAATAAGTACATTTTGAACCAATAAAACATTACATGATTGCTATATATATATATATATATATAGCTTCTGTGCAGAATTCTACTCTAAATATAATATTTGATGAAATTATCTCAATTTCCATCACTCTAACCAAATTTCATGAACTGAGACATGCCATTTGGAAGCCCAAAGAAGGGTGTTTTATAATGTCATGGTGAGTAAAAAAGACTACTTTGTCAGATAGCAGCAGTGTTCCCATTTCCTAACTCTAGCAAATTTTAATTGCTCCAACTGATATGGTATTCAAATTCTCCTAAGTGAGTTTCATAAATTATCATGCAGTACTGTATGGAAGTCCATTGGCTGTATAACTGATGTTGAATGCCTTTTTTTTCTATAAACAGGTTCAAAACTTAAGCAATCCTTGGATCTTTAAAAAACACAGAAGTTCCCTTCATTGATACCCTTATTAGCAAAGAAGTCAGCACATTTGTTGCCTTTCTTAGTCCCGTTCGCATTTTGGTAAGTTATTTACCCAGATAAATGCATTTATCCAGGTAATCGTTTCTCAGGAAAGATTTACCCAGGTAAGTGCATATACCCATGTTCTTTTATTTCTCATGTAAATTCCATTTTATCCATAAAAATCCATTATTACAAGAGACATTTTTGCCCCTTTCAAGTGTTGGTAACTTTCCCCCAAGGCGGGAAAGGTATTTACCCACCTAGGAGATGGGTATCC